CAATGGGTGAGTTCGTGTTTCTCGCTCTCGTTGATCTTTTTTTTGGTATAGTTCTTAATCTGATCGTGATTTTGGTTTTTGTGTAGCTGACAAGAAGATTAAGATCGGAATCAACGGTGAGTCCCTTTTTGTTTCATGTTTCTTCGTTGTTTTGATTTTGATCTGTGGAATCTGATTTTTTCTGGTGTTTGTGAAATGGTTTTTAAGGTTTCGGAAGAATCGGTCGCTTGGTTGCTAGAGTTGTTCTTCAGAGGAACGATGTTGAGCTTGTCGCTGTTAACGATCCTTTCATCACCACCGAGTACATGGTTCGTAGTTTTTCTTTGCTCTTCCTTTTGATGAATGTTTCGATCTGAATTTTGGTATCGTCTTAGAATTGGAAAACGAATCGAGTCAATTTTGTTGTGTGTTCTGTTTTATCACATGGATCTGAAACATGTTTGATTGATGAACGTTCTAATTGATTTATGTTTTGATGGTATTGGATTTGTTGCAGACATACATGTTTAAGTATGACAGTGTTCACGGTCAGTGGAAGCACCATGAACTTAAGGTCAAGGATGAGAAAACACTTCTCTTCGGTGAGAAGCCAGTCACTGTTTTCGGCATCAGGTACATACTTAATCTTGGATGATTAATGATTATACGATTTGTATATCTCTATTACATGTTATTGAGACTTGTGTGATTCTTATTTGTGATGTTTTACCTTTTTAAGGAACCCTGAGGAGATCCCATGGGGTGAGGCTGGAGCTGACTTCGTTGTTGAGTCGACTGGTGTCTTCACTGACAAGGACAAAGCTGCTGCTCACTTGAAGGTTTGCTTTGGATTTTGTCTATCGTATAATATAAGTTTGTCACATCGATTGTTAAGAGTTTTGTTGGTTAATACATTGCATGAGTACAGATTTTATTGCTGGAAAACGAATCTGTTAGTAAGATTTATAAATCACCATATGGTTGATTTGTTCAGGGTGGTGCTAAGAAGGTTGTCATCTCAGCCCCGAGCAAAGATGCTCCCATGTTTGTTGTCGGTGTTAACGAGCACGAGTACAAGTCTGACCTTAACATTGTTTCCAACGCTAGCTGCACCACTAACTGCCTTGCTCCACTTGCCAAGGTCTCTATTCTTTTTCTGCCAGTATAATCATGAAACTTCAAGTCGAATGAATCATGTCTCACTGTATTGAAATTTGCAATCTGTTTCTGCAGGTTATCAATGACAGGTTTGGAATCGTTGAGGGACTCATGACTACCGTCCACTCTATCACTGGTACAAATATATTGTCTTTCATCAGTTATGTTATGGCTGTTTCCCCGAAGCTGTGACTTGAATAATAA